AGTCAAGCCCCAGGAACAGAGCCCCAGAGGGCTGCAGGCTCTGCTCCACACATGCCTTGTGTCTGTCTGTCTACCAGTCTGTGATAGAGGGGCATGCTTGCTGTCAGGTGCAGTGGAGCCTGTGAGGTGTACATGGCTCTGTACCAGGAGGAGGTTTGGGTTGGTGGGTTTCTTAGAAAGTTAGCACCAATTTCAAACATTTTAAGCTTTGGTTTATAAGTCTTTAAGAAGGACACTTTTACTTAATTTCCTTACAGTCTATCTCTCATTCTCTCTCTCTCTGTCTCTGTCTCTGTCTCTCTCTCTGTGTCTCTCTCTCACACATACACACACACAAAATCTCAAAGTTTGTATTATCAAAGACTGCATCCTGTCTTGGGACTGAAAGAGTACCTGTTCTTCCAGAGATCTTGAGTTTTTTTTCCATCATCCATATCAGGCGTCACATGATCTCCTGTAACTTCAACCCCAGGAGATCTGATGCCCTCTTCAGGCCTCTTCAGGCACTAGATGTACATGTCCGTACCTAAACTTAGACCCACACACATACAGTGAAAGACTGGGAACCCCAGCCTACTGAACACCTTCTTCCACTCTGTGAGTCCCTTGTTTCTGACTTCTTGCCACAGACTTTGTTCCTTTGCCTCTTTGGGCCTTAGGCATTCTTCTGTTGGGTGAGAATAAATTCATCTGGGGATTACTATTTGCCTTATCTGTCAGCAGCCAGCGTGGCCTTGCCATAGGGTGCTGTGGTCCCTCACAACTCCTCCCTTTCCGCCCCAACATAGTCTGTGTGTGCCAGCCTTCTCCGACAGATCTCCAGGTCCTCCTCACCTCTGTCTCCTCGCATTCCGCTCTTGATGAGTCTGCTCTTCTCACTCTGCATGGGGTTTTGCTTTGCTGCTGTTTTAATACTGCTTGCCCTCTGTTGTGTTAGTCAACTGTTTGACATCTTCACTGAGCACAAATCTCATGCCTACTACAAGCCAGGCTGCAAAATGGTACTTGTAAGTCAGCAAAAGAACATAAAGGAGCCCAGTCTTCCCAGATTGGGGAGGAGGAGTTAAGCAAAAAGTGGTACCCACATTCCTGCCCTCACATCCCAGGGGAGTTGGCAGGCAGATGCTGTACAGTTCCTTGCATACGGTGGCTACTCCTTCAAGATAATGCTGAATTGAGTTGAATGAAGAGGGGAGACTTCAGGCAAGGAGAAGTATAAAGGAACTAGGAGGGGACCCCAGAGGAGATAATTCCTCTGAAGGTGTGACTGGCCTGCAAGGAATGGTGTTGGGGGCGGTCCTCCAGAGCCTCTCCAACCTGGGCACCAGCTCTGCAGGCTCCTTAGAAGCAAGGACAAGTGAGGGGAGGTAGGTCCTCATCAGTTTCTGTTGAACTGTAAGGTTAATCGAAATAAGAGAGAAGGGTCTTCATCTGCCTTTGTTGTTGGAAGAAGCTGAAGGGAACACACCTTTTTTTACGTTAAGCCTCTCTGAGGCAGAAGCAGGAGGATTGCCACAGTTCATTTATCTAGTTAAAGGGAGGGTCTGAAGCATGAATCTAATTAGCCTTATTAAATAAAAACCTGGAATCAGATATTAGGGAGTGAAAGCTGAAAGATCAGAGAAGCAGAGCAACCAGTCACTAGCTCTTTCCTCTGTGAAATCTCAGACCGAATGGGGGAGGGCGTGTCTCTATGAATCCTCAGACTGAATGACCTGAAATCCTGTTTCTGCCAGCCTTACATTCCTATCCCACCTCCCTTTTACTGGGCTTAAAGGAGGCATGTTCCTCTCAAGTACTTGGGATCAAAGGCTTGAGATCCCAAGTACTGGAACCAAAGGTGTGAGCCACTACCACCTCTCTTTTAGACTGGTTTAATTTTGTGCAGCTCAGAGTGGCCTTGAACTCCTGATCTTCCTGCTTCATCCTCCCAAGTGATGAGATTAAAGGTGTGTGCCACCACTGCTTGGCCTCTATGATTAACTAGTGGCTAGCTCTGCCCTCTGATCTCCAGGCAAACTGTCAGAATACAAACAAAATACTGTACAACAAGGATCCTTATTAGAACTGTTTCTATGACTCTGGAGAGGCTAGGTGTTAGGGAATCTTGCTTGCCCTCTTGGGTGTGGGTAGGAAAGCTACCCTCAGCATGGCACTGGCCCCTGACTTTGCCAGGTGGGCCTTTTCCTTCCACATCCAGCAGCTTCTTGTTCCCAGCAAAGGCTAGAAAATAGTTCCTTCTGTACACTGTTTGATCCCAGATCGGTCCCAGATAGCACATTCTAGTTTCTTGAGTGTTGGTCCCCCTACTTCATGATCCTACTTGATCTACCCTTTTTCCCCTGAAAAGAAGCAGACCAGGCCTCCTAGAGGTGGCCCTGGGATTACAAAGCTCTTTGTTCACAAGTGAGGACATGTATTGAGGGGCTGTTTGGTGCCAGGTGAGTCCCTGAAGGAAACTTACACCCCAAATGAGCACCCTTCCTTTACAGAGACCTCTAGCAAGATCTTTACTAGTCTTGCCCACTTGCTGAAATAACCAGAGAACGCTGTGTAGACACAGAAGTGGCGGTGGTTAGTTACAGACGAGGAAGAGATTCTGGGATTGCAGGGCCTGCACAGGTGGCTGGCGACTGGGACTAACTAAATCGTCCTGGAGAAAGTGAGTGGCTGTTGTGCTGAGGCAGAAACAGAATTCCCATCTAGTGTGCTCTCGATCTCTGCTGTTTCTTTTCTCACATTTTGTTTTCAGATTTCCATCTAACGATCCAAATGATTGACAAGTGCTTTGAAAGGAGTTACAGTTAACCAGGCATGGTGGTATATGCTTTCTATCCAGAGGCAAGTGGATCTCTGAGTTTCAGGCTACCCAAGGCTACATAGCAAGACCCTGTCTCAACCCTCCCCATCCTCACCCACCCAAAAATGGAAGAAAGGGGCCCCAGTTGCCTGGTAAACTTTGCTTGTGTAGAAGGGCTTATTCCTTAGTAAAAAAATGTGCAAAATTTTAGTGTCCTTGACACCATTGTTACATGTACGACTGAGAACGAACAGCTGCCGAAGGGCAGAATGAGGTTAACTGCCTGTGCCACTGGAAGCTTCTTTTTAGTGGCCTCCCCTTATGACAGGAGGATGTGCTGTCAGAGGGCCGGAGAGTTTTGTAACCGGCCGTCTCCAGTGCAGGGGAACCTGAGTCATGGTGGTCTGCTTCTTACTTAGTGGTTGAGACTCAGAGTAAATGCTTGAGGCTTGCATGTTGATACAGCCCCCACCTTGCTGGGCAACGCTCCATCACCATGCAAAGCTACCAGTGAACGTAGCGGGAGCACAGGTGATAAACATGCAGATCCACTCAGGGAAGAATGCCTGTCCCTGGAGAGTGCTTCTCTTCTGTTGGCCTTCTGACTTCTTGTGACGTATGACCTATTTATTGGGTGTGGGTTGTAGTTGATGGAATTCAGAGTTTTAGAATTTGCTGAGCACAGGTCAGTTCCCAGACACTCTTGGTCTGCAGTTTCATAGAGTTCTGTTCAGTTTTCAGAAGGTGAACTTACGTGTTTTAATGGTTGTATGTTGTTCAGGCACCACTGAACTGCCACTCTCTGGAGAGCAAGCACAAAATTGATCTAGAGAATCCTGGCTGATGACCAAACATTGTACTCTGTATATGTCACAACTCCGTCCCCAGCACTGCATACCTGCTGTAGAGCAGTCTCTGATCCTTTAGACAGGCACGTGGTGCACACTGAGCTACCCGCCTGTTTTCAGTCTTGTGCTACATTGGAGCAGAGCTGAACTATGTGTATGATCAACCTGAGCAACATTTCACTCTACCCTCACTTTCCCAGACTTTCATGGCCATCCAGATGTTCCTTCTCATAGAAGAAGGAGAATTAGAGAGGTTAGTTAGGATTGGCTAATACAGCCTTCAGAAGATCCTGGGACCAGGGTCATTTCTTCTACTGTCAGGTGACTTACTATTACTTGCCAGCCCACCATCTGTGCTTAGCGTGACTTTCCATGGTTTCTATGTCCAGGAACGGACTGAGCCACCACAGTTCTCATGAGAGTTCTGGTTGGTATTACAACAAGCTAGCAGCTAAGATGAGCAGAGGAGATCTACTCTCTCTCTCTCTCTGACCTATAGTCCATTATGGATGGATAGGTATGCAACATTGATTCTTAGTTACGTCTCTGAGTTCATGCCTTTAGTTCCAGTACTCTGGAGGCAGATGCAGGTAGGTCTATGAATTTCAGACCAACCTGGTTTACAAATCAAGTTCCAGGACAGCGAGGTCTATTACACACAGAAACTCTGTCTCAAAAAACAAACCAACAATAAAAATAGTGGGTTTCCGTATAGCATTCTCATGCTTATACTTTACACTCGTACTTGGTTCTGTTTGCTCTGTTTCATCTCCCAGTTCTTAGTTTTGCATCTCCGAAGGTCAGTGCTGTAGCTCTTAGGAAGAAAGTTGCTTTACCCGTCATTTTTCGAATGGAAAGAATGCCTTACCAAGAGAATCCTTGTGCATGGCCAGTGAGCTATGCGGGATGTTCAACGGGAGCCCCTCCCCCAAACCCTCTAGCTCTAGAAACAACAGCTCTGACAGGCAGTGCTTCACAGGTGAGGAATGGTGTCTTGTTCTAGGAACCATTGAATACGCTGTCACCGCCCCTCCTCTTTGCCCTGTCACTCACAACCATTTCAATTCAGTGCTCCTCTGTTTCACAGGAGATTGTCCCCAGCATTTGCTGTCCCAGATTTAACTGAATGGACTATTTGCCCAGTGTTCCCTCATAGCGGAGGAGACTCAGGCTCTAGTCCCACCTTCTGTCCCTGTGCTGCTTGTCCGGTCTGGCTGCCCTTGGGTGTGGTCTCTTTTCGTTCCCACTCCTTGGCAGCATTTGTGCGAGATCTGTGCACACACACCGTGGCTCACTTGGGAGGTCTCCTTATTGCTGAGCTAACTCCATATTTCTGCTCCCTTTCCTTTCAGATGCCAGTATGGACAGAATAGCTTATGATGCTGACCCCCAACCATCACTTCCGAGACATTGAGCGGAAACCAGAATACCTCCAGCCAGAGAAGTGCTCCCCACCTCCCTTCCCTGGTCCTGCGGGAACCATGTGGTTTATCCGTGATGGCTGTGGCATCGCCTGCGCCATTGTTACCTGGTTTCTGGTCCTGTATGCGGAGTTTGTAGTCCTATTTGTAATGCTGATTCCATCCAGAGACTACGTGTACAGCATCATCAACGGAATTGTGTTCAACCTGCTGGCCTTCTTGGCCCTGGCCTCACACTGCCGGGCCATGCTGACGGACCCCGTGAGTATGTCTGGGCTTTTTTTGACCAGCCCACATTCTATCCCTCTGGCCCTGGCATGGCCATAACCCACAAACTCCCCATGGATCTTGGGAATGTGAAAAAAAGGACAGCCAGGACTGGGTGGAAAAGTGAGCGATCTCTTGTTAGAGTTTTTGGGACTCTGACCTGGGAGGGGGCCAACACCTGTATTAAAGCGTATAGGGGTAAGTTCAATGGCATCTGTATTAAAGCGTATAGGGTAAGTTCAATGGCACTGTCTACTGTATTAAAGCGTATAGGATGAGTTCAATGGCACTGTCTACTGTATTAAAGCGTATAGGGTGAGTTCAATGGCACTGTCTGCTGTATTAAAGCATATAGGGTGAGTTCAATGGCACTGTCTACGCACTGCTGTCTGTGTTTGTTGAGCCTGCTGTGTCAAGGGTCCATCTAAACCCAGCCTCTGTTTGGGAAATGTGTTCAGATAACCCCAAAGACTGGCCAGATGGTCAGAGCAGAAAGCATTGTAGGGGAAGAGAAGAAAAAGAGGACAGAAGTGGGTTGCCTTGATGCGACAGCCCAGCCAGTTTCAGGGTCTGCATGCATTTAACCTTTACTTAGCTTGTCACAAGGTAGGGTGACACACACCTTTAGACCCAGGGAGGCAGAAGCAGGTAGATGCCTGTGAGTTCGAGGCCAGCCAGAACTACATAATGAGACACCTTGTTGTCAGGGAGGAGAAAGATTCCTCTTTTCATGAAAAACTAGCCAGGCCTGTTTGGAACTAGGTAAATACCTTTGGGTATTGTGGGTAATAGTTGTTCCATTTAGTGACTTAGATAAATATATCAGGTGTGGCAGAGGCCCCTGAATGTTTTTATACCCCGATATCAAGTCCTCCTGTTCTCATTGTGTCGAATGGGAAACAACAATACAGGTAACTTGGTAAAGCCCTCCTTCTTGGTATGTGGGTGGTAGCCATTACATTGAGAAAGAAAACCTGTTAATATCCACACACAGTTTCTGTGAGCCCCAGAAAAGCAAAGCACAGACCATAGAGCTGAACCAGTCTCCTTCTTGAAAGTGAATTGTTAATCCCTCCCAAGGAAAGGCAGTTTCCTGGCTCTGTGGCCTGGTGCAGATATCACAGGACAGTGCAACATC